ACTGGTTACTTCACACAATAATGACATTCACTGGTGTTATGCTTATATAAGCTACACTGTATTTAGTGTTGGAAAGGAACTGCTGTCAAGGCAAACATAATAATTTGTCACTTTTTGCACATGAAAGATGAATAACATAATACAAGATTGTGTTGGGAGTACCCAGGGGAGCTATAGTTACTTTTAGCCCATAACTGACCCCATGGAATTATTTTTACATAGCTGATTTTTTTTACATAGTTCGCCTTAGACAAAGTTACAGCTGGTGTTGAGCAAACTGATCCTAGGTCAGCTTTCAATGAGAAAAGGAAGAGATCCCCTTTTTCCTTTTGCTTTTGTAGGTTTTGCAATGCTGTGAAATGTAAATAAAATAAGAAATAAAATAATAAAATTGATAGATTAAAAAACAAAATGCTGTGAGGGGGCCCCCTGGTGGCCGCAGGGCCTAATGCAGTCACATACTCCCCGTGTGCCAGAAGTCATCCCTGCTGTGGTACTCCTGTAGTGTTTACAGAACAGTGACTGACTCTCCGAACTGCTGTTGAGTCCATAAAAAACAGGACCATCAGGCCCCTGAGTGGTTTATTTAAACCAGCTGTTTGAGAAGCCTTCGGGATGACTAACATGCACCCAAGACATGCAGGACACTGCTGCTGGCTCTGCGTTATTGTACATTCATCATCATTTATCCCACACCACAGACGGGAGCTGTTTTTTAACCTCTGTTTTTTTTATATATATATATTTTAATCATGGGTTCGAGGCTGTGTGCTTTGTTCACAAACAAGGATAGAGTTGCAGAAACCACATCATTACAAACAACATGACCGCATCTGGTTATGTCATTCTCCTGTTCAGAATGGGTTTTGAGTGCAAAACATATTTCATTGTTTAAACTGGATTTTGAAACCTATACATGTTATCTTTCAAAACAAGACATGGTTTTTTAACATACTAGTAACGTACTCCTTTAAGCAGTTGGAATAATTACATTATATCTTGGGTTAACAAATGCCCTGGAACTTGCATATTATTAGTCTTTTGGTTTACATATTATTCATTTATGCTGCTGAATACTCAGGGTAAACACCTACCTCAATATTACAAAAGCAGTGCCTCTGCATGCATTCAAATGGTCCTTAAAAAAAACACCATGTTATGCCAGGTATATGTAGTTCCATAAGCACTCTATCTCACTGGGAATATTTCCCCTCAGGTGTGTCTTTATAAAGCCTACATAACACCTCCACAATCACAATGTAATAACAATGTAATAATATTTTATAGACAGAGACAGTTTGTGTTACATTGTATCCATTCAGAGAGGTTCCATTGATTGTGAGTGGCTGGATTTCTTCTCTGTCCCCGCCCCCCACCCTCGGCTGGCGCTCTGAATTGCCAGTGCCTGGCATAGTGCAGCAGTGCTGAGTGTTACATAATGCCTTATAATGCCTTCATAAGACCTGCGTAAGACCACATAATTCATGACAAAAGCAGTTAAGCAATAATTGTAAGGCAAGCCTTGGTGTTTCTGACATAAAGGGGCTGATGGAGCTTCATCAGAGGAATCTGCTTCCTTTTCTAATGCCTGCTTCACTGAGAGAAGATGTCTTGGAACTGGCATTGTAAGCAGAACACAGCTTAGCACCTGCATAAAGACCAACGAGTCGAAGTACTATTCAGATCAGGAGTGCTGTCAGTCATATGTTGCACTTAAGCAGAATTTCAGCTTCAGTAAGTTCTCTCAATATAAAACCCTGCTCTGTTAGGTACATACAGTAGGTATGGGTAAGGTGGTATTACATATACCTGATAGAAAGAAATGAGAAAAATGGGTTGTCAAATATCAAAATAGGCAAACCCCCCCGGATCAAACGGTCCATGATACTGTAACACTCACATAAACTTAATCACCGATTCTTTCTGTTTGGTGTGCACTAATGTATTAACTCTGCTTCAGGTCACCACACTGACGAATAACACGCTGTCATTCCCAGTACTGTGTGAACAGCCAGGAAGTCTCTGCTAACCGAATGTGATACCCCCCTGGGACCAGAGGGTTAAGCTCTATGAAAACAAACGCCTCACATTCCACACTGCTTATCAGAAATGAATATAGATCATTGTGTCATTGGCTGGAATAGAAAATTGTGCATTTACACCAAGAATTAGCATGGACTACACTAATGCCCTTCTCTAATCCCCCACCCCCCGTTCACATCTGACTGAAAGTGGGAGTTAATTTTGTATTTATCAAGCTCTGCAGACAAGAACTGTATGTTCTCTTACTTTGGCAAATTAGTGTGCCCTACACTGTGACATTAATATTGGTAGATGTTTTTTTTTTTTTTTTTTAAAAACATTAATCTTCTTAGGAGTTACTTATTCAAACTGATTACCAAAGCCAAGGCCTGTTTAACTCATCTATGTGTGAACCAGAACGAAAAATAATTTCAGTGGGAGTTTGGGTAAAATGTCATTTTTAGTGTGTATTATATTAAGGCAGACAAAATCAGCTATTGTATGAGCATGGCATGTAGGAGGTGATGCAACTGCACAGTGTGAAATGTCTAATCCCCTGATTCCTGCTTCTAAGGCTTGCTCTTTGTGAAGGAAGCCACAGGTATCCACTCTTTTGAGAGTACTTTACAAAATGGAGTGATTTCCAATGCTGTTGGGCTAAGGTCTAAATTAGGGAATGTTTTGAATAAAAACGTGTGCAGATTTGATCCAAATACAATAAATTATCAGGTGACCGTAATAACATGAATAAGCACCCAGCAATATGTACAGATGGGAAATGCAGAAGAGAAAGACAAAAGTGATGGACAAATGTTCACGTGCAGAGTGAGTGAAAGATTACACGAACCTATAATAAATAAATGTTTGGAGGGTGTTGTGTTGGGCAGTCACATGACTTTATAGTCACACAAGAGGCTAAATCAGAAGTTTCCATTCAATTTTTATGAGGAACTCTATGGTTTATGCCATAGAGCGGCAGACAGATTTCCTGCCATAGCTGTACCCTGATTGTTCTGCTCCTCTGGGTTTCTGGGCTGCGTCTCGTTGCACTTGGCATTTGAAACACTGAGGAGCCCATGAGTGCCCTCTTAAAAACGCAAGCCACGCCAAGGTCCTCATTTGTACCCAGAAGCCTTAGCTCTCCCCGTTCCATGTGTGACACCCTGTAACGGCCGTCTCAGGCAGACAGGGTACGGCCCCTGACAGCCTGACGGGATGGAAGATTAATGGGGGCGGGGACGGTTGCAGACCATTCTCCCCGAAATACTCCAATCATGCCCCCCCATCTACTCACCACTTCAGGTAGCACCTCAGACAGATTATCCCTGATGCGAAATTGATTCTGCAACAAGCGTTTACACGGAGGATTAGCTCGGACCACTCTAATGACCCCTTTAATCCTCCCTCTTTGTCCTTGCTTGGCTTGAAGTGGGAATTTATTTTGGTATTTATCATGTTCTTCCAGACGGGGACTGCCTGTTCCCTTGTGTTGGCACACGATGCAGAGCTGTGGTCTGCATTACATTCCCCTTCCCACAATGCACGTGTGCACCGCCCCCCATCAATTGTGGTAGCGCCACAGGGCAGATTAACCTCGCAACAATGTTGATTCAGCAACATACGCAAGTCTCACATCACGGCAACAGCCTCTTATGTCTTTATCACTTTTATGCAAATCGCAGGGGAAAAGACAAATAGCATCTCCAAGTGAAGGGAAAGAGGAGCTTTTTCTTTCCGTCTGCTATGCTCTAAGGCATCTCACTCTTCAATATAACCAGACAGATCCATCTGGACAGTAATTATTAGACTTAGGTTTTGGATGGTTTGTGCCGTTGCACTTAATCTCCAAATACTTAGCAATGTTTGGTTTTGATGCAGCTGGCTGATGAATTTGGGAAATCCATGACCACATCTTAATGCCCTTCTTGGGCTTTTTTTTTTTTAACCAAACAAGAAAAACTGGCAAACTTTGATTTTTTTTCAATCATGTCTGTTGGGTAGTAGAACAAATATTGTGTCTGGTTTCAGTAAAGTAATCTGTGTCCAGATTTCAGTCTTCAAGTTTTTGCAGAAATGTGGGTCACATGCAAAACAAGAGATGTGCGCTTGCAAATTCAGTATACACTCATGACAGGCTCTGTACATGTAAACATGACATTCATTTTTCTAGAACAGAAAAGCACAATATGATCAAAAATGGGAGGGGAGTGAATCTTCTCGGGTTACAGTAGAACCTCCTGGATAATGGTCATGTTCTGCCAGCACCTGCGAAAAATAGTGACATGCTAACTAATGACTGACAGGGTTCGTGCCAGAATGAAATAGTGCTCTCATAGCAACCTTATCAAACTTTGAGGAGTGAATTTCAAAAGATGCGCAGAGACACGTCCTTTCACACCAGCTGCGGAGCAGATGAAAGCAGCCTTTGATACACTATGTATGCCTGGCATTGCACGCTAACCGGCATTAGCATCTGCCTTGGGTAGCAGTTCCATCAAATCCGCAAATTGGGAAGTCCTTAAAAATCGATAACCATTTTAACACGGCGTTACTTTTTTGTTATCCAATCTTCTTCAAACGGAGCCAGCCAAAGAACAGGGTGTGAGTGATGAAGGTAAAAAAAATGCATATACAATTTTCAAGGGCTTTCCACTTCAAAGCCTCGGCCCCTCTCATAATGTTTAGATAAAAAAAGGCTGAAAATGGCAGTCTGGTCAGGAGAAACGAGCACAGTAAGAGGAATGTCAGCTGTGAGGTGAATTTTTCTGGCGCTGTCAGGCCCCTTTGGCTGCGTGTCGTCATACAGTCTCCCGCCAGGACTGCAGGATGACAGGGAAGACACAGCACACGCATTCCCGCATAACGATATGACAAGCAGCATGACTGAGTACCTGTAAAATGACCACCTCTAACATTTCTACATTTCAGCCTTGCTGTGTAAGCATCATCTAGTATCTAGCATCATCAACAGCATCAGTGGTTCCATAGTCTAGTGGTTATCATGACTGCTTTACACACAAAAGGTCCAGGGTGCGAGTCTCAGTGGAACCAGGTGTGAAAGTCTTTGGGCAGCAGTGTAGCATGGCGGTAAGGAGCAGAGCTTGTAACTGAAAGGTTGCTGGTTCAATTCCCAGCTAGGGCACTGCTGTTGTACCCTTGGGCAAGGTACTTAACCCAGAATTGCCTCAGTAAAATATCCAGCTGTATAGATGGATAACATGTAAAAAGTGTATAGCTGTATAAGTCGCTCTGGAAAAGAGTGTCTGCTAAATGACAATAATGTAATGTTACGCAACATAAAGTTAAGGTAGCCTAACTCAGCGATAGTGCTTTGTGTTGAGATCAGCGCCCGTTTGCTGTTCATCCAGCTGGCTGTTAATCATTTAGTGCTGGATTAACAACAGAGACGTCCTTTTATCGAAGGAAGAAAGAGCTTCGATTGGACACGGGCTGGAACCAGAACTCGCCGCTTCCAAAAATAGCCCCAGCATGACGAGGGAGGGAGGCAGTCCTGTGAAACGTGCATCAGCCACCAGCCTCACCTTTACTGCCAGGCCTGATCCTCGCTGGGCTTTGATTGAATCAACCCCTCGGCTTGCCCATTTGACTAATACAAGCCTGATCAATCTCTTCGCCTGGCAATGAGAGATGATTAATTATGTACCTGGGAATGCAAATGAAGGAAGCTGATGAAAGTGCTTGGTTGGAGTGTGTGTCACACAGACTGTGTCGTTTTAGGCTAAACTCGGTTCCCTGCTTGATTCATGCCTGGTTTGATGGCGTGTGGAGAATATATGTGCAGTCCATCATTAGGCGTAAAGCCTTATAAGGTAATATTTTCACCTGGCATTTGACAAGTAGGTGTCTGTCTTTCCCCACCTCAAAGTAAAGGGAATAATGTTTTTCATGGATGGGAAGTGTGGGCAAAGACAAGCAATACTTCAACAGGGGAAATAGCCTGTGAAGAATGACCGCACTGCTTGGGTCAGGGTACTCGTTCACTCCTGAAACAGTAATGAACGTGTCACATTGGCATCACAGCCACTGAATAAACGTATTTCTCTCCAGGTTTCCCAGACCTGTGACTCTCATCTGAACCTTTTCAGAGCTGATTGATGAGATAACAGATGAAGACATTATAGATTCCCAGTCTCCCTGGATGCGGGAAACATGAAAACATTCGGTTTAGAATTCAGAATTCAGAACTAATCTTAAAACATTCCTTTTAGAATTCTGTTTCATGTCCTGAGTTGGTAGGGCTACAGAAGGCAGAAGCTTCTAAATCAGGAAATGCACTAGTGCCCCTCTTTTCCTGATTTTTAGATGTCTATGTCTCCATGCCTGGTTTGATCTCTCAAAGATGCAGGTTTCCCCATGGCCTGCCTGTGTGCTTTGAATTGTTTTGTGCATAGATTTGGCCACAGCAATACAGAGATTGGTCTGTATATATGAATAAGAGGCATGTTTCTAAAATCTATTTCCTCCTTTATCTATGTGCTCCTTATCACACTCCCTTGTCTAACTTTCCCTCAGCACGAATATTAACTATGCTCATTACCAGCTCATTGTAGGTGGCACATATAAATCCAAGATAGGACCCTTTATTCTGTCTCCCTGCTCAGGCAAACTGCCAGCTGAGAGGCCTCCAGGAAGATGGCTGTGCCCCCCTGTGGGACCAGCCTAAGATGTAATTCTCCGAGGCCACAAGGGCCTGGAGAATTATTCGGTCAACATGAAACAAGCGAGGCGAGAAGGCAGGGGGAGCTCAGGGAATAAAGGCACTCCTCTGGAGTTAGACGTCTGGGCTCGTGGTTCACAGCTCTGTAGGCTGAGAGACTGTGTCTTCTTTACTCCATAGGAATATGTTCTAGTGAATTGTTGATTTCTGGCTGAATTCTGCTGGGTTCCTTCCCTGAAGTTCCCAGGGCTTCCGTTTTTCCCTGAAAACTCTGCTTTGATGGGAAGATGGAGTCTGTGCAGTCAGGTGCACGTCTGTAGCGCATCTGCAACAAGGACTACGGACTGTCACACATTCTGCTGCTATAGCTGCAGCAAAAATGATGAAATGGACACCTGGCCAGGCAAATCAGGAGCATCTGTGGCAGCCAGCTGTGAGGTATCGATCCCTTATCTCCCTGAAACAGAAGACTCAGCCCCCGCAGCGAGGGGTAACGGAGTTAACCCCCCACCACCACTCTCATCATTCCGTCTCAGGCATACAGTGGAATATCTGTGTTTCCAACGGCAACCTGGACCCACTGTGACGTTCGGGTCAGAAGAGTGATGGGAAACAGGAGTATGGAGAGTCTGCCTGATGTCAATAATGTAAATGTTGTTAAATGTGCTCACCTTTTACGTCACTCTGGATAAGATCGTCTGCTAAGTGACAAGCGTAAATGTAAATGTGAAATACTTGAATAGTGTTATGCTCAAACTCACTGATACAGGAGTGTTGTTAGCCTGGTCTGACACTTGCTCATTTAACTTGGATGGATACGCTTTTGTTCACCTGTGTTGCAAGTCACTCTGGACAAGATCGAGCTTCTGCTAAATGAATGTAATGTAATGTAAAATGAGAAAGATCTTAAAGAAAAAATAGTATTAATGTAAGAAAAAAAGGAAACGCAAAATACAATAATGATCACTAACTAATGATAACTAATGATAACAATAATGATCACTGGTGGTGTGGCTTTGAACTGACATGACACACACTAATTACTCTCCTTTTCAAGAACTAGAGATCATTCAGAGATTTGTTTAAAAAAAGTGAGGAAAAGACTTATTACATGGAAGCCCATTTCCACCATGAAAGAGAAGGTGTCTGTGTCATAATGATGTTTTCTCATAATTACATATTAATAAATCATTCTTCATTGAGATCAGTCTGTGTGTAGCTCTTTAAAGGTGACCTGATATAACCAGCTCTGAATGTGTGTGTAAAGCAACACTACTCTGTCTTCCACAGATGACTCATATGATTCACAAGAAGGTTTATGATATTAGCCATACATATCCCCGACCATAAAGTTGTTCAGCTGAGACTCCTACACTCATTTTTTTGAAAAGTTATTAGAGTTTGTTTGCCAATAACAACAAAAAGCTTCAGAGATTTCATTTGGGACCACTGTTGGAATAACGACAAATAACTGCATAGATGAAAATGCACACAATGGTCTCAGAACAAAGAGAAAGGTCATTTTATGAGGTGATGGTGAATAAAATATCGATACATTAAGGGATTAATAGGGATGCCATTGGCTGGAGTCAACAGTGATCGTTTCATTGAGAGAGACGGACAAAGTGGAGGCCCTCGTTGGAGACTGTTCTAGAAAGTCAGTGTGCCTGGAAACATCTCACGTACGGACATTCTGTATGGTTTAAAAGGACGGAGAGCACTGAAGTCCAGATCAGGTCTCTGTGGTCTGCTTCACACCCTGTGAGATGAGGTCGCCTTGCCAAACATCACAAGGTCATATATAAAACTACTGATAAAGTTACAAATAATATCATTTTAGTCACCTATGACATTTTCGATTTTCAAATGAAGACAATGTTTACTAGGAAAATGCTACTGTGTGTTCAAAATGCAGTTCTAGCCGTTTTTTTTTTTTTTTTTCCTTTGTGTGAGCTTCATGTTCAGACTGGTCATGCATGTTCAGACTGACCGATGTTCCACCTCACGTGTCCTCATCAAAATGGAGACCTGTTCTTCGTCTTGTTTTAATAGTCAGTGTCAAAGTAAGAGAGCTTGCACTCAAAAGATTTACACGAAGTCAAAACATTTTCTGCTTTCTTTTAGGTTGGCAAGATCACTGTTCACAGAGGGGAAAGGAGTCTCAGGCATCATCAGAGCGTAATTGGTCACTTGAAATAACTCGACATGAAAATGGCTATTACGTTACATTATTGTAATTTAGCAGACGTTCCTGCTCAGAGCAGATCACAAGACGTGAATGCAAAGTGGTTCTAATAAAGCGGCAGGAATAGTTGTTCAAACAGGACACTATCGACCATATTCAGAAATGCATCAGTGTCAAACACAGTGCTGAGGTCACAGGTGCGTACCTGGTCCGATTATAAATAGGCAATCCTTCTGTTGCTGTGCAAACTCTGTTGAATGGCAAACATGTCTCTGCAGTGGAGCGTAAACCACGGTGACATGACTCTTCATGATCTGAGCCCTCTTACCATTGCGGTAATGTGTTGAAGAGGCAAAGAGCAGGGCTCATAACCCAAAGGATGCTGGTTGCAATCTCCACGAAGGCCCCTGCTGTTGTACCTTTGTGTTAGGCGCTTAAGCCAAACTGCCTCAGTAATCATCCAGCTGAATGAGGTAAAACTGTAAGTTGTGTAAGTTGTTCTGAATAAGAGACGGCCGAACAAGACGTAATATCATGCCATATAGTTGACATACTTAATGTCATTGGACAGAACACAGGACTTATTGTTTTCCACCCTGGCACTGTGCCCGGCGTTTATGATAAGAATGAGTTATTACTTTTATGCATCACCACCTATTAAAGTGAAGCAATAAAAACTCACCACCTGAGAACATGACAGGGAGTGTCAGTCTGAAATTGTAAGTTCTGAAAACAAATTAAGAAGTGACTGACAAGTCTGACATAGGCAGCCAGAGACTTCATAGTTTTATGTAAGTACTCCAATGACTCATCATTGAAAAGAAAAGTTTCCTTGCCTTCACTTTATTTGGTTAATATAAGTTACTGTGTTTGAAACCAATATGTGTACAATACATACAATTTTACATTTTTTTCCTTTTTCCTATGGCTTTACTTCCATGTCTGAGTGAGTAGCTAATTACTTGATGTATATATGCACTGTCACTGTGGAAGGTTTAGGTTTAAGAGCTGTGATTATGGGATGTCTTCCCCCGCATTACTGTGTTACACAGGATAAATAATGGTTTAGTAATGGGCAGCAGTCTGGGAAGTTCTGGTTAAGGATCTGTACGTTCAAATGGTGGTGTGCAAAAATGATGTTTTAACCTGAGATAAGGAGCTTACAGTAACCTGCCCTTGACCATCAGT